GTTGCGTATAAAAATCTGAAACAGAATTCTCTCCTTGATGCAAACGGAATATTTCATCATGCAAGTCAGAGATTCTGAAAATGTCTGACTGAGAAAACCTTTCTTTAAGGTCTCTCCATACATCAACAGCTCGATCCATCCAGAGGATCGATTGTGAAATGGAATCAGTAATGGATCGATGCAACCATGAAAGGACCATGGTATTGCATCTCTCCCAAGAAGCGTACCTTCTATCTGCCAGATCTGGAACAGAAATTGAACCATTGACAAACTGAAGCTTATTTTTGGAGATCAAGGCCATAGTCATGGCTCTAGCCCAACCATGGTAGTTCTTACCGTTCATTAGTGTAGAAACCAATACCAGAGAGGGATTTTCATTCGGATGTAGGTAATAAGCACTAACTGGATCTGAGAAATTCTCTAATGCATGTGTTGCTTTAGTGTTTGCAACTGCATGCGTGGTGTCTAAAGCATCTTCTTCATCCTCAGAACGAATATCAACTTTGGGTGAGCTCTGATTCGCCATAATCGTTCAACTCCAATTGTCGAAAAACAGAAGAAACTCAAAGTGTGTCTTGAAGGAAGAGAAATTGCAATGAAGAAAGCGCAGAAACAAAACGGCGAATATCAGAGCTCCGATGGAAGCTCTGATACCATAACAGAATGTGAAAGTTGAAACGTTTTCATTACTAAGAAAACTGAATTGCAAAAGATACAAGAGTTACTGTACATCGTCCTATATATATCTGAAGGAAAGTAAAGTGCAAAAGAAAACTAGTAACTAAACTAACCATTACTAGTGCCAGCTCAGCTAACAAACTAATAACAAACTAAATAGTGAACTAATTACAAAGAAAAGTTCTTATTTAAATTAAGAGGTATAATAGTTGCGTTTTTAGCTCCAACTATTAGATTCGTTGGATTACAATTACCATTTTATTAAGTTTAATATAAATATTTGGGATATCTTATGTTTCTTTGCAAAATTGATAGGTATTATGAGTTTAACTTCATTTTTTGTTAAATTATTAAATATTAAATATAATACACATTGCATAAATTAAAAATATTATTTAATATCAAAATGTGTCCTAACGTGTCGAAATCTAACATTTTTTAGAATTAACGTGTCGGAGTATCGTGTCTTGTCATGTCACGTGTCCCGTATCGGTATCGGTATCGGTGCTACATAGACTATACCTATCATTTCATGTTCGCCCCTATTAATTTCTCTCACATAAATTATAAAATATGAGGTCATCCATTCCCAACACAATTTGACAATGGACTATCTGATTTTTAAGTGTTATAAAATTGTTAAAAATAAGGAAAAGACAATGCTTGAGATTTCAAGTACAGGCGTTCCTCAACACACATGAGAAAGAATTAGCAACTATTTCGTATATTGCGTATATTTTTAAACTTAAAAAATAATAAAATATAAGTTATGTGAAAATGTTTAAATTTTAAGAAATAAATTATGATTAATTTATGTAAAATTTAGAATATATTAAATAATATAAATGTTTAAAATGACAACAACATATGTATAATCAATTAAAGTATTTGAATTTAAAATATAAAAATAAATAAATTAAAATAGCATTAAGACCAAGAAAAGAGTTGCGAAGAATGAGAAGATTAGATAAGTATATAAACAAGAGAAGATTAAAGGAATTCAAATTTAGTTCAATGTATTCTTGACTTATGCCACCTACTATAACTTTTATAAATTATTATTGATAGGTACATACTTCTAGCCGCTGACGTAAACTTTCATAAGCAATGAGATATTCCTCGCGTAATTAAAACAAATATGCAATTAACTGCCGAGTTTTATTTTAGGATTCGTTTTTTTGGCAGTTATTGCAGATAAGTTAACTGCAGTAAGTTTAATACGATGTCGTTTTGGGACGAAAATCGTGGTGTTTTTGTAATTTTAATTTATTTCAGGATTATAATAATCTTTATATTTATAATTTTTTAAAATTTCAATACCTCATTTTGGAAAAAATACAGATAACTTATCTGCAGTAACTGCAAAAATATTTTCCCCTTTATTTTATTTTAATATATTTTTAGCGTAAACAAGCTTTACATTTATATTTAATAACATATTATCATATTCATATAGTTAGTGTTAAAAAATTTGGATCAAACTAGTTGGATAGGAAATTAGACCATCAACTAGTTCGGTCCAGCTAATAAATTGGTTATTTAAGTACAACAGTATTAAATTAGGAAATGAATTATCTAATAACTAAAATTTCATATGACCTATAAAATTTTTGTGTCTTATCTTTATTCATTTATGATAATTGGGATCCACCTATTTAATATATGTGAAGAGAGGAATAGATACAAAATTTTCACTTCAGATCACAGATCGGATCCACTCCCGTTAAACTGGTGCTCAATTTTTAATTGAACTGATTTCTAAAATGTTGTGTACAATATTTGAAAACTTGTGGGCGTGTTTGGTTAAGGAGTTCTCAAAAAAATTTCAGCTAAGTGCATGTTGCATTCTCTATTCTCCCCGTTTGGTAGAAGGATGTCATGATTTTTACCCATAAAACACAGTTGCCTATCTAATTACAAATGCATCTAAAAAAGGTCCAATTACATTGTTAACAAAAGTAACTTCCAACATGGTATTTCTTTGAAAATCAGAGAAATGGAAAAAGTGAATGAAAATAAAGACAAAAATACCCTAGTAATATATGTTGTAACATTCAAAATTTTATAAAAAGGTTACTTTCGTAATTTCCATCCATTTTCTTATCAAATTTTTATTTTCAACCAAACCTACACTCAGCATATTTAATCTAATTTTTCTAGTAATATTTTACAGTACCAAACAATTTTTTTTAAACTTTCCTACTAAATTTACTTTCTTATATTTTTCTTGTAATTACATTTCCCTAATAATTTTTTTTTTCCTTAACCAAACATCCCCTATATTCCTAATATGACCTGATAATGAATGCTTATAAACAGTTATCAGTAAGCTACAAATGCTAATTAAATATTTCTATTATTATATCTATTTTATAATTTTATATTAATTCCATTTGGATATTTGAACAATTACTCAGTACTTGAACCGTTATTCTAGTAACTTGGTACCCGAGTGAATGATTGGTTTGAATTTAATAATAATAGTATTTTTTTCTCGACCAAAAATGAAGGTTCGTGAGTATTCTTGTTTCGCCGCCCTTCTCCAATCCTTAGCTAACAAAGTTAATTTCCCTGCTAGTTTTGTCATTAAAGGAAATAAATACTTTCGATAGTAAAAAGTTTAGCATAAGAATAAAAATGTAATTTTCTTAAATTAATTATTCGAAGAATATATGAATTATTTACCTTACACATTTAACTATTTGATTTTTTTTTGAAATGCATACATAAATAAGAAAATAATTTTCTTTTTAATTAAATGTATGAATCATAGATTTATATATTTATTTTTTAAATAGAGCAATTGAAGTTTATGAATTTCCAAAAAATAAGAAAAAGCCGACTCTGTTGCATAAAATAATATTATCGAATAGAGAAAAATAAAAAAGAATGAATGAAAACAAATAAATTTGAGACTTGTTTTGTTTTTCGTTTTTTAAGAATATAAAAGAGATGAAGGGCTATAATTTCATATTACGAAAAAGTGTGAAAGATAAAAAGTTATAATTAAAACCAAACAAAAGAGTTGTGATTTGTGAAGAATGAGAAGATTATTAAATTACCAAATTGTTGTAGTTGGTAATAAGGAAATTGAGTAAGTAGAAAGGAAAGAGGTTTGGTTCGATACTTACATGTTATTTTTGGGAAAATTTTAAATGTTTTCTTCCTTAACCTGCCATACATTCTGAATTAGTCTTATAATAGATTCAAAGAGTCAAAATTTGTTAAGAGAGCCAATTTCTCTAAAAAAATAATTGAGGTTGTGTTAACTTAAAAAAAAAAAAATTAAATGAATTGAAATTTATTTTAAAGTGTTCTTGACTTCTTGAAACGAGCCACCTACTAGAACTTTTATAATTATTATATACAGACACATAATTCTAGCTGCTGACGAACAATTTCGTAAGCAATGAGACGTTGTATGCGTAATACTAATAGACAATTAACTGACTGATGAAATTAATTTTAATGTATCTTTACCGTACACCCAATCAAGCGTTTTTTATATTCGTTGTACAGGGTTAGTGTTAGTCAAAGAAATGAATTTGTCAATTGACTCATGCGTAAAAATTTTTAATTTTGATGAATTTTTAAAACTTTTTCATATTTTTACACTATCACAACATCCCTTGAGAACTAGAGTTTTTTTTTTAACCCGCTGGCCCCAGTTTTGTCCTATTGTATGTGACAACTAGTCTTGAATGCTACATCACATGGCAAAAAGTGTCCTATTGAACCCAATAACAAGACTTTATTCATGGCAAATTGAAAAAAAAAAAAAAAAATCACAAAATATGACATTTCGGTAAAAAAAAAAATGCCAAAACTAGCATTTGAGTAGTTTTATTTTATTTTTTGGTGAGTAAATATCTCTCACTTTCGGTCACGTGAGATTAGATTCATTCCGGTCCCAATTGTGTCATTACCAAAAATAAAAAATAAAAAAATACCTTGATTCTAATGGTTCTAACTTCTAAGGCACGGAAGTTTGTCAGAATCACAGTCATACATGGCTGCGCACGTGCAACAATTTTTCATTGAACACAAACATTTATGATAAACAAAACGTAATATAAGTGGTGTCACAAAATAATATATCTAGCACTTACGGGTCACGTAAGCATCTAATTCTCATCCATTAGTTTAATTTCTCATTATATCTTCCATTTCCATAGTCAAATACCTCCTTTTTTGCCAACCCTTTTTTTCAAACCATACCCATTTTCCTCGAAGTTCACCCCTTTGACCAACACCACCCCACTTTTATATATAAACGCTTGTGCTTGTGCAAATTTAGCATTTTATAATCCACCAATACATACACACATGGTCTTATAATCACAAGACACACATAAACACCACTCTTTTTGTTCTTGTTGATATAGCTTCAAGATAGTGTGAACAATTAACACTAACCAGGTTATGATGAAGAACAAAAGGCCTAGTAGAAGGGACAAAAAGGAGATCAAAGTTACATATATTTCAAGCCCTGTGAAGGTTAAGACAAGTGCTTCAAACTTCAGAGCTATTGTGCAAGAACTCACTGGTCAAGATTCCAATGTTGCTGAAACCTCCATGCCCATTGAAGCAAATGGTTCTGAAAGAGTTCACAATGTTGCACAGGGCTATTATTTGCCTGAGGCTACTTTGTTGAAACCTGATTACAGTGAGTTTCTTTCGAGATCATTGATGGAGCCATTCAACCAACAGCTTCAATACGATTTGTGGAGTTTTGATATGTCCTAGGTTTTTTGATTATTTTATCCAGGTTCTCATTTCCAGGTACTACTTGTTTTTTTTTTTTTTTATGATGTAACTTGTAATAAAAATTTTGTAATTTCACTTTTGTGAAGTTGAAACTTTTTATTAGTTCACTTGTAATTTTTATCAAAGATTTTGTAATTTGTTTTGTATATGTTATGGACCTAACTAACACACCCATATCTCAACAATATACAACAGATAACAAACAATGGATAAGAGAGATAAGAATCTTATGATATCAACATGATAAGATTTCATAACAATCTTAGAATCACTATGATTGTGGCTCAATCAGATAACCCATTATAAAAAGGGGTTAAAGTAATAAGGTACACAATTTTTGTCCATTTTACTTTAGTTATTACTGTGCGTACACTCCATATTCTAGCCATGCTATTTCTCCTTAGTGCACCGTGATTCGGTATTCCTTGTGGTATATCTTTCGTGGATACTTGCAAGCATATATAAATCCCATATTGACTCACCATTCGAGTGGATATAATGAATCTACCAGGATCAAACAATATATAATATAAATCTCATTGCATATTAATTGGTAAGAAAATTAACACATAAGAATGTGAACAACACAAAAATTACAAACTTATAAAAAAGACAAAATTTATGTTAAAAATTGCATTTTCGTAATAAATTATAGAAAGGTTATACTTAGTTACTTACTACCTTTTTTCTTACCACTTTTTATTATCAATTTTATTATCGTTGAATTAAAATCAAATCAACGACTCTCACTTGATGATATTCTGTAACTGTTGATTTGATTTTGATCAAATGATGATAAAGTTGATACTAAATAATAGGTGATAAGAAAATATAATGGTAAATATAACCTATCTCATAAATTAGTTAAAAACTTATAAAAAAAAGTTACTATGTTATTATTAAAAGTTAAAGATTCGTTTTGAATCAAAAATAAAATCTATATTAAAAGTTACAAAATAATAAAAAGTAATAAATTCTGTGAACTTTTATGCATAAATATATGGAAATATTATTTTTCCTGTACAATACACAAAAAAATGAATTCACTAAAAAAAATAAAAATAAATAAATAAATGAGTTTGACCCACTTTTTATATGTTATATGAGATAAATTATTTCATTAAACAATATTCTCTAAATATATATGAAATTCTGTGATTGCTTTTGTTATGCTTCGGCGTCTTAGTTCTTCCCGTTCCCGTACTGAAACTATCATTGAATGGTGATGTCGGTTGTGGATAAGACAGGTGTTATGTATCCATCTAGTCATTGAAAGAATGGAGTCGAATAAATTAAGAAAAATATTAATCTCATGTGATAAAAAATAATAAGTATCTTTTACACACTAAAAAAGGTGTGGGTCCCACTTTAATTTTTTTTTCTCTTCTCTTATATAATGGGACCCATATAAAATTCTGAGAGCAACATGAGATATTATATTTTCTGTTGCATAAGAAAATATAATCCCATAAATTAATAGCTGATAAAGCGCCACGAATAATTAAATTTTATGTATTTTAAAAAAAAGTATATATTTTATTGTTCAACTCAATTATAATAGTTAATAATTAATTTTATATCTTGTAAATTACACTTAATTATATTTAATAACTCGGGTTTATTAATCAAGTAAATTATTAAATGTAAGTAAAATTAATGATTAATAATAAATGTGAAATTTATTAATTTTTTTATTAGTGCCAGTTAATGTTAATCCTCCCTTTATATATATTCTCAAGACTTTATTAGAAGGGGAATAGTTTTTTCCTAGAAAACTACCCCTTCCTGTGGAGACAATAATACATGCGTCCTATCATGAATTTTTTTCATCCCATTATTCTTCTGTAGACCCCATTTTTTTCACTACTCGTTTATTAAAATGTAATTTATTTGTAGATGTACCATAAAGTGACAAAGGAGTCTTTTTATGTCTCTCTACAAAAAGAATATATATTGTGATAAAGGAAATGAGAGGAAACAAACACTTTTCAACATTATGAAAGGCGAAAGAGACAAAATAATAAAAAAATAGAAATGATCATTTTAGTAGCCAAAGAGTTACTTTTCAATTTATGTTTCTCTGTCATGAGAAGCACTTACCCCACAATCAGCATCAAAAGCACTAAAATGTGAGCACACAGCATCAATTTTCACCCTTGCAATTTTCAATCATTTTTCTATCTCTTGTTCCTTAATAAGTCCCCAAGTCCCTAGAGTATATAAAATTTTCACCACCCCAATTCTCGAGTATTTCAATTTTTTTATGCACTTTAGTGTTGGGACTCTACAAGTGGGTTTTTTGACTCTTTTGCCTCTAATTAAATAATTAATAACTAATTTGTCACTCCCCCAGAACTATCCATCATCCTGCCCCCATTTAGTCGATTAAGTTGCACTTTTAATCGACTAAATTGTTTGCACTTTTAGTCGACTAAGCACATTATTTAGTCGACTAAAGATCGCGAAAAACCCTATATCCAGACCTCTCTTGGGCTCATTTTCAAAATATTCGAAATCAAAACTTCTCTCTTGGTCTCTTTCTCTTGTTTGTCAGCTGGGAACCTTCCAATCACCCTTCCATTTCATCCCACCACCTCTAAGACATAGTAATTGTGAAATCATTGTCATTTTTCTTTATTTTTCAATTGTTTCCCCCAAATCCGAACCCTAACCCTTAAAATCTGATTCCTACCCCCAAAATTCGTGTGAAAGATGAGCTCAAGTCCAAACATGTATGTTACCATGATTTACTATGATGGAAAGCATTATGAAGGCCCCAACGGTGTTCAATTTGAAGGAAAAACGAAAATGTTGAAAATCAAACGGGGCACTACGTACAATGAGCTGAAGGGGAGGATTAACCAAAAATTGGGGCTACACGGCAGCCATGGCGTTCAACGGATGATCGCCAGGGTAGAGTCTACAGTTGGTAAGGATGCTATATTCTACATTGGTAATGATATATGTGACGATGAAGATGTGGATTGTGTCATAGATGCAATTGTGGACCGAAAATTTCAAAACTTTATTGAGATATATGTTGAAATAGACTGTGGTCAATCTTCATCTGCACTTGTGCATGGAAGAAGTCAAAGTCAAGAAGACAGAGTGGTCGGTTTATCTGCACCTGCACCTGTCTTAAGTCAGATACCACTGAGGGAAATAGACGAGGATGAGGATGGGCATGACGAGGATATGGACAGTGAAGACGATGGTGAACCCGAGAGTGTTATTCCGCTGGGTGACACCTCAGATACGGACGTAGAGGGGAATTTTGAAGCTGATACTAGTTCAGGAAACTTGAGTTCCCAGGTTATGCCACCGCTCCGTGTTGACCCTGTTAGCAGTGGTAAGATTGTAATATAAAGTTTTAATTTTGCATATATATATATTTGTGTTTTCTTTCGTACTGACGGATAAGTTTAAATTTGGACGTAGGGTCTGAGATTGAGCCATTTTCGAACGACAGCCCACACTATTCGTTCATTAATTGGGCTCACCCTAATGATGAGACATAGATATTGTATGGCGACGATGACATCCACGGTGGCTGGCATTTAGGAGATCCATTATATTTGTACCAGGAGTTTCGAACTAAATCTGAAATGCAACATGCTGTCAAATTATATTGTATGAAGTCTCATCGTACTGCTGTGGTGGCAAAAAGTGATGACCATAGATTTGTGATGAAGTGTCGACACCATAATGATGGTTGTCCCTGGTACGTGCGGGCTATGTTGCCCAAGAATGGAAATAGTTGGGTTGTTAGTAAGTGGGGTAAAAAACACACCTGCCTAAACCAAGGCCTTACTCGGGACCATAGACAGCTGGATTCTGATGTAATCTGTGCAGCCATTATAAGTATGTATTACATTGATTTTTGTTTATGGTTTAATTTTTCGGTATATTTATTGATTGTGTTGACTTCGAATTTTGTATAGGTATGTTAAAAGAAGATCCATCCACGAAACCAGTTCTTATTCAGGAGAGGGTACAAAGTTTGTATGGATACAACATATCTTATAGGAAGGCTTGGAAGGCTAAAATGAAGGCCATTGTGAAGTTGTTTGGCGACTGGGAAAAATCATATGCCATCTTACCTGGTTGGCTGAACTACATGACACAGATAAATCCTGGTTCTGTGTTCAAGATTGATACAGATCAGTGTTGTGACGAACACGAGTCTACACCGATAAGGCTGTCTTTCGCAGGGTATTTTGGACTTTTCACCAGTGCATTGAGGCTTTCAAATATTGTAAACCCATAATCCAAATTGATGGCACGCACCTGTACGGGAAATACAAAGGTACCCTCTTGATTGCTACGTCACAGGATGGTGATGGATTCATTCTGCCTATTGTGTTTGCCATTGTTCCACCGGGTGAGAGATTGGATGATTGGTTGTGGTTTCTTAGCCAGATGTGTTTCCATGTCACACGTAGGCATGGTATCTGTCTAATATCCGATCGTCACCCCAGCATCATCAGGGCTGTGAAGGATCATGCCGGTTGGCAGCCTCCATTTGCGTATACGTGTTTTGTCTTCGTCACATTGGAAGCAACTTCAACACTAAGTTTAGGGATGTCGAACTGAAGAAAACGCTGATGAAACTAGGTAACCTATTTACATGAATGTGTACATGTTGTATGTAATGTTGTTTATGTATAACTCATTGCAATTTGGGTTCATTTTTTGCAGGTTACATGTGTTCGAAGATTCACTTTGATTTAAGATTTCAAGAATTTGTCGACAGTAACCCACAAGTAGCCTCATGGATAGATCAGATTCCCAAAGAGAAATGGTGTAGGTCTTATGATGAGGAGGGCCGAAGGTTTGGTCATATGACGACAAACCTATCTGAGTGTATCAATAAGGTCCTACGGGGTGCACGTAATTTGCCAGTAACGGCATTGGTCAAGATGACGCAAAGTAGACTTGTTGGGTATTTTGTGAAGAGGCGTGAAAAGATCCAAAAAGTAAAGGACAAAGGCTGGAGAATTGCAAAAAAG